ATATGCTTGGAAGCCTTCTCTAAATATGTCCGGGCTATATCTGTTGTCTGCTTCCATTCTCTTGTGAAGTTGTGAGCTTGAGGGTTTTTTCCTGCATAAGGATGATCAATAATATAAGGTAAGGCCGGTTGTCATCCACTTACAATTTTAAAGGGACTCTTTCCCATAGACGAGCTGGTTTGACAATTAAAGCAAAATTGGGCGACATCTAATAGTTGTATCCAGTTCTTCTGGCGAGCGTCGACGAAGTGACGTAAGTATTCTTCGAGCAAGCAATTGAACCATTCTTTCTTCTATCGGTCTGAGGGTGGTAACTCGAGGAGATGTTTAAGGTTGTTCCCAAGAAGGCGAATAACTCGGTCCAGAATGTCCCAATGAATCTGCCATCCCTATCACTGATGATGCTCGACGGAATGCCCCATAACTTTACAAGTGTTTGAAAAATAGTTGAGCTATGAATTCGACCGAGCATAATTTGGGAGTGGGGATGAACGTCGCATATTTTGAGAATCGGTCTACGATAACCAAGATAGCGTCATATTCCCCAACTTTTGGGAGGTGTGTTATGAAGTCCAGAGATACACTTTCCCAGGGTCTTGTCAGCACAGGTAGAGGTTCCAAGAGTCCTGAGACTTTGGCTTTCTTGACTTTGTCCTGTTGACAGATGAGGCACGTCTTGGTGTATTCCATGATGTCGTCTCGCATGTTTGGCCATAAGTACCCTTTTTTTATTAGGGCGTATGTTCTTTGCCACCTAGGGTGTCCGGCCCATAAGGTATCATGACATTCCTGAATGAGCTTCTTCCTCAGTTCTCCCGTTCTTGGGACATACAATCTGTTTCCTTTTGTCATCAGAAGGTCTCCCTCAACCCAAAACTGTCGTATTTTCCCAGCTTTAGATAGTTTGACGACGGCTTTGGCCGATGGGTCTTTATGTAAATGTTCCTTGATGATGTCGCGCATCGATCCATCAATCTTACTTGAGTGAATATGGGCTAACATGCACAGGGCCGCATGTTCGCCCTTCCGATTCAGTGCGTCGGCTACTTGATTACTCTTTCCTGCTTTGTGTTCGAACTTGAAGTCGAATTCGACCAACGACTCCTGCCACCGGGCTTGTTTTGCCGTCAATTTTGGTTGAACAAAGAAGTGGCAAATGGCGCTGTTATTCGTCTTCACTATGAAGTGTGATCCCAAGAGATACTGTCTCCAGACTCGAAGGCAATGGACTACTGCCAACATTTCTTTCTCGGAGATAGTGTATCTACATTCGGCGTCATTGAGCTTTCGACTTTCGTAAGCGATGGGGTGGCCTTCCTGAATAAGGACCCCACCTAGGGCAAAGTCGGAAGCATTTGTTTCTATTTCAAATGGCTTTGTAACATCTACCAATCCGAGGACAGGACCCCTCGTCATGGTTGTTTTTAGATCTTCAATGGCAATTTGACAATCATTTGACCACGACCAAGGGTGGTCTTTCTTCAACAGCTCTGTCAATGGGGTGGCTCGTCGTGAAAACCCTTCGACGAACTGCCTATAGTAGTTGGCTAATCCTAAGAAGGACCGCACATCGGATACGGAAGTAGGAACCTTCCATTCTTGGATAGCTTTTATCTTATCGCTATCCATACTAATCTGTCCACATTTGATGACATGTCCGAGGAAGTTGATGCATGTTTGTGCGAATGCACATTTCTCTTTCTTGACATACAGTTGGTTTTGTTGTAGCTTGTCGAACACCAGCTTCAAGTGCACTTTGTGTTCCTCTAGGGTTGTGCTGTAAACCACTATGTCGTCGAGGTATACTATGACAAATTGATCCAAGTATTCGTAGAAAACTTAGTTCATCAACGTGCAGAAAGTAGCTGGGGCGCTTGTCAAGCTAAAGGGCATTACTAGGAATTCGAAGGCCCCATATCTTGTTACACAAGTCGTCTTGGGCTCGTCCCCTTCGGCAATACGTACTTGGTAATACCCTGATCGTAAGTCCAACTTCATGAAGTACTTGGCCCCGTGAAGTTGGTCGAACAAGTCAGATATTATCGACAGTGGATATTTGTTGCATACCGTCACCTTGTTTAAGGCTCTATAGTCTATGCACAGACGCAACGTCCCATCCTTCTTCTTCTGGAACAGTACGGGGGCTCCGTAGGGTGCCTTTGCCGGGCGGATGAAGCCCGCCTTCAGCAACTCATCCAGTTGTTTCCTTAATTCGGCTAGCTCGGGCGGAGCCAACCGGTATGCGTTCTTCGCTGGCGGTTTAACCCCGGAGATGAGCTTGATTTCGTGATCAATGCCTCGACGAGGTGGTAATGTTTAGGGTAAGCTCTCTGGCATTATGTCAGCATAGCTGTTTAGTACCTCCTTGATTTCATTTGGGACAGTTTCTTCGGTTGTCGCTACTTCCATCAATGGTATGGCCATAAATGTAGGTTCCTCTCGTGCGAGTCCCCTTTTCAATTGTATGGTCGAGATCATTCGAAGATTACATGGTTGCTTGATGCTTGCAGGTATTACTGTGGGGTTGCGGTCGGTGATCACTAAGCATTTTGCCAGCAGCATTGGGATAACTTTGTGTTCTAGGAGGAACTCCATCCCAAGTACCACGTCAAAGTCGTCCATGAGAGCTACGACAAGATCTAGCTCTCCTGTCCAATCCCCAATTTTGAAGGGGACTCTTTTGGAAACTCCCACAATAGGCAAGGCCTCAGAATTGACAGCTTTCATTTTCCCCAGGTCCTTTCCTATAGTGAGTCCCAATCTTCGGGCTTCTTGATCGGCAATGAAGTTGTGGGTCGCTCCTGAATCTATCAGAGTGCTCCTGCTCGGTCAAGAATTTATTGTCGCATCTACGAACATGGGCACTTTCTCTACTATCTCCTTCGGTTCGACCTTCCGTTGGAGGGCTGACAAGAATTTAAGCGCGCCCATTCGGGGATTGTCTTGATCTTTCTTCGTGTCAAGCATAGTCTCAACCCTTGCGTCATTGCTCTCTTGAATGGACACTTGGAGCGCAGTGAGAGAAGCCTGATGAGGACAGTAAGATACTTCGTGGGGACCTTTACACAACATGCATTGTAAAGGCGTCGTCGGGTGGTTCCTTTGACGGTAAGGTCCTCGAGATGTCCCCGCTTGGTTGTTCTGAGGAGGTCTATTCGTCCATCCGCTTGGTCTGTCTTTACCTCCGTTCGGTCTGTTGAGGCTTCCATTTCGATGACCTGGTGGTTTGTATGTCTTGCCCCCAGTGTTTGGGGCTGGTGTCATTCTTCTTTGGGATCCCGCTTCGTTCCCATAGTCTAGGAGTCTCTTGGCACAGGTCATTGCGGCAGCTAGGGTTTGGACCTTGTTCTCGTGTAGCTTTGTTTTGGCCCACGGCTGTAACCCATTTATAAAGAAGAACACCTTGTCCTTCCCTGATGTAACTCTGATATCTAGCATCAGGGTTGAGAACTGTCTGACATGGTCTCGTATGCCTCTAGTATGTTTCAGGGCTACTAGTTTTTCCATTGCTATATGTCCTGTGTTTTCGGGGAGGAACTGGTCCCTCAACTCTTTCTTAAGGTCCTCCCATGAGTCAATGGTGCACAATCCATCCACGATGTCTTGCACCTTCGTACGCCACCAAAGTTTGGCGTCGTCTATGAGATACATCGAGGCTACGGTCACCTTCTTGTCGTCAATACAAGCCGTTGTGGCTTTGAAGTACTGTTCAACATCAAAGATGAAGTTTTCCAACTCTTTGGCGTCCTGATTCCCTTTAAAGGCTCTAGGATATGGGAATCTTAGTTTGTTGGACCCTGTATTAGTTTGCCCAGCCGTGACGTTCTCCACGGCTTTCATGGTCACTTCAATTCGAGTGCCCATGGAGGTCATCCTTTAAAGGCTCTAGAAAAATCACTCTCACTTTATAATGTCGTTTACTAAAGGTTAGTATTCAAACTCATTAAGTTTTAATACTTATGAACATTCTAGTTATTTCTATAATTGATGTTCTAAAAGTGCCTAACCCGCACATGGCCCGTCACCCGCGAATGGCCCGTCACACGCATACGGCCCGAGACCCGCGAGCGATCCGATAACTCGCACCTCGACCCGAGACCCCTGCACACGCGTCGCTCTCTAATTGAACGTGAATGTATGCCATGTATGCTGCTTAGTTTGATGTGATATGTTATGCATGTGACGATATGTGGTTCGTGAATGATTATGGCATGATTGTATGGAATATGTGAATGTAAACAGCATGAATTGTCTGGAATCATAACCCCGATAGGAATATGTATGAAATGTGAATTGAAAATGAGAATGACATGAAGTATGGAACGTGACAGGGGGTTATGATCATTAATGATAAACGTAGAAGTAGGAGGGACCTCATGCATTATGTGTGTTCATGCATCTAGGGGGATACCCTTATCCCATAACGATCGTTGTCCTGCCATTGGATGTACGCATCCTTACCCTTGTGATGGGATAGGGGTATCCCCCAAATGCATGAACACAACCATCAAATTTTTAGGTTGGGTTAGATTCTTGTGTTTATTTGTTAAAATTTAATTCATAAAGAAAACTATTTATTTATTTTCAAATATTTAATTAAGTTTTACAACTTAGTTTCAATATATATTTCTTAAAATAACGGTTAAAAATAATTAGGAGGGTTTAAGAATAAACAATAAAAAAATAAATACAAATTAAATATATATACTGAATTAAATTTTAAAACGGTTGAGTTCTAAATTTGTAGAGAGATCGGGTGAAAGAAACAAATATGAGATGAGTGTAAACAGTTTTTTTTTTCTTTTCTAAAAATTATTAAATGATTTCTTTAAAAAAATAAAAAATTAAATGATTAAGAAATGCCTAATCAATATGACAATGCATAGTTGAATGGAAGAACCAAGAAGGAATAAGGAATCAGGAAGCTTTGAACCTGATTGCATCAATTTACGCAACTAACGAAGCTTGTGATTCTATCAATTTGAACTTGCGAGTTGAGATAAAAATTATAAAATGGAAGAAGGAAGCTTTGATTAGTAAACATGTTGTGCAATTCAGTAGAATTGGAGTCGCTTATTACATTCAGATAGCAACAACTGTGGTGAATTACAAACCCATTAAAGCATGGACTCAGCACATTGCTTCGTACAAGTGCATTTATCACCCGAGCAAAATCCGTCATCCCACTTCTCAAAAGAAATGCAAAGTTCAGCACATGTTGCTGCAATGCACGGTCCTATAAATGCATCGCTGTGCTTATAGCATGTCCGCCCCTCTGTCTGCACCACCATCCATCCTGCAATAGTAACACAAACTTATTCATACAAACAAAAACCTTCTTTTTAATACTATCTGTCAATCTAAATCAACATGGAGAAGGAGGAAGGATCAAGTACCAGAAGTAAGGGCTAGGAAGATGAACACCACAATTTTGAGACTTCTCAAGCTTTGTCCCGCCATTCTTTTCTTCTCTTATTCCTTGCTACAATGGAATGTTTGTTTCTTCTCTTATTCCTTGCTACAATGGAATGTTTGGATATCAGTTCCCCATTTTATATCTGTGAAACGCCTCATCTTTGTAACGTCTTCTTGATTTCCTTGCGATTTCAAGGAAAGAATAATCACGTTTTGTAACGTCTGTACTGGCCGTTCTTGATTTAAAAGGAAGTTGTTTTATTTTATTCTTGTCTAGTCATGCGGTTAACATTGGTCTAAATTATACTATTATTAAAAGTAACCTATTTCTTAAATACAAATTTAAAGCAGGAGCATAACCAACTTAGTATTAATTATCTTTCATAATCTGTATAAAAGGTAGGAATTTAGGTGTACTATTGTTATACCTCTTTTCATATGCGAGAAATTTAAGATGATAAACGCAACGATTAGCATGTAGTATAACCCCGGTTTATAAAATCTTGAATTGGAAAGCTTAAGTTTTATACTGTTTGATTATGGTTTTTGTGATGGTTAAAGATTACCGTTTAATTGGTGGTGTGAAATTCAGTTGTTGATTAGCATAGTCTAAGTCATGAGAATGTTGAACCGTGGGAGGTCTTAAGAGGTTCTTGATTCTTGGCTAAGGTAACTTACTCGCTTCTTGTTCCTTCGTGGCCCTAGACTACTCTTCATGGTAGACCATAAAGGTCATTAGCTCGGTGCATACTTAAATATGTCATCCTGCAAATCTTTTTGGTACCCATAACTTCTCTTCTAGGTGAGGGAAACTTGAGGCCAAACATGACATCCTGCAAAGGAAACATGGTGCAGGTCATCCCACCTAGAAGAGGAATTCTTGGGCCTTAGAAAGCACCGCTTGATGCAAGGTCATAGGTCACTTTGGGCATGGTTAGAGTATTACCTAGCATTCTTGTGTTTTTTAGTTTGGGGACCTTGGTCCCTCGTCCTTGAGTGGTACCTAGCATTCTTCTTACTTGGGTAGTTGTAAAGCTTGTGTGGTGTTGTTCTTGATCCTCAATCTTGTAAGTTTCTAATGTTCATAATTTCTTGGGGCATAAGTTGTAACTTTCATTTGTAATCATATGAACCCATCTTAGCGTAAGTTGTTCTAGAAGGTCATAGATTCTTAGGGAGTTCTTTCTACCCATATCCTAACCATATTCTTTTATCAATCTCTCATATCCATAGCACTTCGAGGCGTAACCTAACCATAATGTTTCGTGAATACATCTTACTTCTATCGTTACATTACATTTAGTGCATCCTTCTCGTATCATATATCAAACATATCATTAAACACATCACACCATAAATATTATCATACAATTCACATATTATAGCATAACATAAACATAATATAAGCATATTGATTCACAGATAATTCACACATATCAGTATATATGACACGTGCATAACCACAGGCACATGTGAACATCAAATATAACCATGCCGATAGTAAGGCCGCTTACCTGGTTAACTTAAGTTGTTGTCACGAATATATCCTTAATGAAAGTTCGATTATGTCCTTTGAAATCAGTAAACCTATTTGAGCCCATGACATCAATTTCAAGTTTGAATACTATAAAATTATTACTTGGGTCTACTCTTATATTTACTTTTTTCTGTATTTAGTTTATGCTTTTTTATTTAGTTTATGTTTTAATTACAAAATCTTCCTTTTTTTTTTAATGGGTATTTACTCTGTTGCCTTCTAATTTTGTTCTCATGTATTCCAAATTTACAGTGGATCCCTATTTCCAAATCTTTCCTTATCTTGGTGTTTCCTTTTGTTCACAAATTTTTTGGTCATTTTATTTTTAATCTATTCATTTGCTACGGATATAAATTTAATCTAATATTACTAATATAACTGATTTACTAGAATTCGTATAAATGACTAACATTTAGTTTCTAACTCAAAACTAAACGATTATAATAATTTAATGAAAATCTAACTATAATTGGCTATGATTTCTTAAAAAAAACTAAAAAGAATAGGATAAAAGAAAACGAAGATTTAATATATACCTTATTGTTCAAATCTATCTTCACTTAAATCTCCCATGAATCTCAACTCCATAAAGGCCATTTTCATTTTTTTTTATAATTATTTTTATTTCTTTATTTCTTTATTTATTTCATTATTTATATATATATATATATATATATATATATTTTGGCTATTAGAGCAGAGTTCATCTAGTCGGTTATTTTAACGTTGCCTAATTCCCGAGCATTTTGATCGATTTAGGGCGTTAACTCATGGTTCTTTGAGCTTTTCTTTCATATATCCTAAATTCATATTTGTTTTAGGGTTCATATGGAAATCCAAGCGATTCCTACAAGTATGTCTTAACAAAAAAGTGCAAGGTGGCTACTTACCTCGTTGTCGACGTTCGGGACCTCTGTTCATGATCTTCCGATACCTGAATTACCTTAAATTTTCTTCCACAGACTCCTTATTGTGTCTAGTTTCTGGAACCATAAAGATTTTTCTGAGAACCATTCTAGAAGGGGGTTAAATTTTAGAAAAATCGTGGGGTCGAGTTTTTGGTTGACATGGCCGGTTCAACTGAACCGGCCACGTCATCGTCTTCTTCCTCCAGACGGGAAGAAGACGTGCGTGATCTTTCGCGCCACTGTCTGAAAGTCGCCCTCCCCAGCTCCGATCACGCCGTTTCTCCCCTCGAGTTCTTCATGAAACTTAAAGAGGGTATTACAAGGAAGAGCTATGGATTGATTTCATACCTTTTCGTGGATCGTAGCCTAAGATATTCGCTTCCAAAGTTCGTCCAAAATATAATTTCTCGCTGGAGTAAAAACAAAGGATTTCTTATTGGGTAGCCGATTCTAAGGGTTTTCAAGGCTCGATTTCTTCATGGAACTTCTTCCTTATTCTTTCCTCAAGCTTAAGAAATTGGTTTCGAGGAACATCTTTGAGTGTGGGACCTTAATTTTGAGAAATCACCCTCGGTCTGCAAGTTACATGACACCTCCGATTTTCAATCTCTTAGGTATCTTGTTCTTAGACGTTTCAGCTCTTGATTCCTTCATCAAAGTTACTCATCTTTTTCCTCTTAAGCTAAAGGAATCCTTAATTTGAAGGAAAAGAGGTCATAGAAAGGAATTCGACACTTACCCACAATTTGAACATGAAACGAATTTTCTTCAATTGGAAACTTTTCCGAGGTTATTTCTCTTCGTGGTCTTCAATGAAAACATTCCTTGAAGGTGCAAAAACTTATTGAGATCATTCTTGCTCGACGAATTTTGTGTATTCTCTTATTTGAATTTTGAGTTTTCCTTGAAGCTCTTTAATGGCGGATTGGATTGGGGGAATGGTTTCTAGGCACTTTCCGAACCCTATTCCTTCATAGCACTTGTGGGTAATATTGTTTAGAAACTATAGGAACATCGAGGCTACAGTCACCTTCTTGTCGTCAGTACAAGCCGTTGTGGCTTTGAAGTACTGTTCGACATCAAAGATGAAGTTTTCCAACTCTTTGGCATCCCGATTCCCTTTAAAGGCTCTTGGATCTAGGAATCTTAGTTTGTTGGACCCTGTATTAGTTTGTCCAGCCGTGACGTTCTCCACGGCTTTCATGGTCACTTCAATTCGAGTGCCCATGGAGGCCATCCTTTCTTGGATGTCGCCGATTGTTGTTCTGAATTCATCAGCTAATCCATTGAACAAGCTCATCATTGTATTTTGTAGCACGTCGAACTCTTCGCCACGTCTCTCCTTGTGCGTGACAGAGCTATCCAGACTACCAAACGATTTTTGGGCTGCTCGTAGGAGCAACTCTTTCTTCGAGCGAGGTCACTCGAAACATTAATTCTGCGATTGGCAACCCATCCAGGCGGTTGCCCATTGCGTCGATTTCTACGACTTTCTCACTCAATTTGGTCACCCGTGCGACATTTCCTCCTCTATTAGCGTAAGCCGGTCGGCTTGTGCTTTGGATGTCGACTTTGTTGCCGACATGGTTTCGGTCTTTACTGTGTCACGGAGCTAACAAAGCTCTGATACCACTCGACACAATCGCACTTTTAAAGGCAGCGGACTAGCGATTGTGCGGCACTCACTTTCCAACGACAAGTGAGCTAAGCCAATTTGTTCTTGCGTCGCCTACGGCCAAGTGACGTATGATCGAGCCTCTAGCCTCGGTTTTGAAAGAAGGTTTTAGAAAACGAGGGTAGAGAGAGATTTTAGAAAGAGAGATTTTTGAAAGAGACGTTATATAAGCAAGCAAGAGAGAGATAACAATGGTTTAGCATATATAACCTTGGGTAGGGAGAAGTTGACAACTAGTCATATCCCCGTATAGTACATTCTGAGGCATTTCATGTCTGGCAGGCCTAGACATGATATTTTTGAGGCGTCATACGCCCTAGAACTACAAAAGTAAAAACACTAGAATGAAAAGACATGACAAGGGTTTGGCTTGCCATAGGCATGCGGCCATGGGCAACACGCCCTAAACGAGCATGACCGTGACACTCAGCTCGCACACCCCCGCACGCTCACCCCGCACGCCCTCGTGCACTCACCACTCGCACACGCCAAGCCCCATCCTATGCTATGTGCGATACATGTCCTACCAACAGCATATCAAAAGTGTTGGATTTTACCTCCATAAAAAAAACATCACACCCAATGCCTATGAAGCGTGAGTGCACGTATAAAGCCTTGAAGGTTAGCCCCTATAACAATTCATCACACCGAACATCCGTGGAAATTAAGATAAGCAAAAGAAAAAATAGTTAATTGTGAAAGTACATGTGGAGTGGTCGGTTTGTTGTAATTTTTTTCTTGGGAGCTAAGCAACATGAAAGAATGATTCCCACAAAATTTCATATTTTTTTGACAACTCTAGCTATTTTTTCTAATTTCCTATTACTTAATATTTAAAAACTCATTAAAAAAATTGGTTGGTTGAAAAATTATGAAACTTGATTTATAGATCCATTAGAATGTCTCATTAATGAATCAATCGAGTTCATGGAAAAAAACAATCTAAAACTTGAATTATTTGACCGTATGATGGCTTAGAAAAATCGTATCTAGGCCTGGCAGACCAAAAATGCCTCAAAATATACTATATAGGGGGTGACTAGTCTGCATGGGCTGGGCACGGGGGTACCCCCTATATCTTCCGCCACCCCCACGCCCTAAGCACTATGCGCCGCACATGGGCATATGCTTGGGTCGTCGAGGTGGTGGTCGGAGGTCGAGGGCGGTTGACAGCGGTGGTGCGATGGCGGAATGCGCACGGTGGGGCAGTGTCAGAACGTTCCCTTGCGCTCGCCAGCCCCGCCCTTCCCCTCGCGTGCTGCGCACGGTGGGGCAGTGTCAGAACGTTCCCTTGCGCTCGCCAGCCCCGCCCTTCCCCTCGCGTGCGCCCCGCTCGCTTGCCCCTGCGTGCGCTCTCTCACGCCCCTCCCCGCCAGCGTGCGCCCCGCTCGCTTGCCCCTGCGTGCGCTCTCTCATGCCCCTCCCCGCCAACGTGCTCCCGCGCGCACCCCCCACCCCACCAGCGTGCTCCCACGCGCGCGCCCCCCAGCCAGCGTGTTCCCGCGCGCGCATGCCCCCCTGCCCCGCCCCGCCCTGCCAGCGTTCTCCAGCGCGCCACGTCCTGGCCCCGCCCGCATTCTACTGTGCGCGCGCCCGTGCCCGCCCATCCATCTCCCATTAATTGTGAAAGTACATGTGGAGTGATCAGTTTGTTGTAATTTTTTTTCTCGGAGCTAAGAAACATGAAAACATGATTCCCACA